TGAAGTATTCAGCATGAGCCATAGGCGAATGCTGCAATCATTCGAGTAGGAAATTAGCATTCTGTGCAAGTTATACACTTTAATTTTTCTACGGCTATAATAGATAACAGCGGTATTTTCGATTTCTTCCTCCTGTAGTCATCTGATTTCCAGTCATGTAATGCTCATCTATTAGACAGATCTGCCATTGCTTCACATTTGACATTCCATGAGCGATGTGGTTTTTTTGAAATAATAACACAATGGAGTCATTGTAATATCAGATACGGAAATGATATTGATGACATACAAAGTAATTTTGTGTTAGCCGTAGAAGTAAAAGTAACTTTCCCGCATGATTTTTCGTTTTGGAAGTTGTACTTTTCCTTACGATTTTACTTTTCCGTATTATTTTTACTTTTCCGCACGGAAAAGTTACTTTACCGCACTAGTGCTGAAAAGTTACTATTCCGCAAGATTTTTGTATTGTTGAAAATAAGGATATTTAGGACTAACAAAATGATCCTTGTAACTATTCCGTCTTATTTGTCATTTTGTAGCATCATTATAAAAAACACTCGCAGGAAAAACTTTGTACCTAACTCTTGCGGAAAAGTACTACTTTCCGCACTTGTTAGGTAAATAACTATTGGAATGAGATATTGTACTTGTTTCTTATATGATATTCAAATTAACACATTTGAAAGTGAAGCATGTTTTCAGTTTTTGAAAATTCATTGTATGTAGTGATCATCAAATACTGAATCGCATTGATTCTATTGAAATGACTTTTGACGTTTATTAAAGGGTATTATTATAAGATAATGCATAATTTGTTCTATTGGCTTTGTGTTCTGGTCATTCTGGTTCGAAGGGTGTTCAAAAATCTTGAGATGATGCATGATCAACATATTCATTGATACAGGGTCACTCAATTGAAGAAACTTATTGAGAGCTCGGAAAAAATATGTTCTGGGAAATGTGTCCTTTTAGAATTTCCGAATTTTCTGAGTACACCTGAGCAAAATTAGATAGCAACATAATAACATATATCGTGATATTGGTTGGGGCCTCGGGCCACAGTTGAAATTGGCACATATCAGGAATCGGCTCACGCCAATTTGGGTCGAAAAGTTTGTAATAGTCGAGGGAATATGCCGGTATGAAGTTTTTGTTCACTTGCCAAAAAAAAACACATATTAAAGGCCAAATATTTGTATAATTGATAACAAGTTTGGAATGAATACTCACACTGATCTTATAATTTGAAGTTTTTCCCAACTATTTTCCGAGGTAGGTATCAGGAGGATTTCAATCGAAGGATATCCTTGACTTTTTCATTTCCTATATAGGGCATTTCACTCTATACCTTCAACTATATAAGATTTCTGTCCATTTATTATAGAAATTATATTTTCTATAAAACTAATATTCTTAATGGCCTTTACAAGGATACCATAAAAATAATAGTATACATTGTGAATTTCATGATATAATATATGATTTTTTGGTAACTTAATGGGGGTAATGGGACGGACAAAATAATCAAAACGACATTAATCTTCAACTTATTGTTAATTTATTAATAAATATATGTAGGTACTAATAACAATAAATAATTATGATACAAGTTAACACGAAAATAATTAATTTCAGTAGAGAATTCTTGCATTATAGATCCTTGAATCAATATAAACAATAATCACTTCCAAATCAATATGCATATGAATATCAAACTAATTGTTATTGAATTATTTTCACAACATAAAACTATGCAGAGTGTCTAAAAAGTCTGTACAAAATACAACCTGGGACGAAAATAAGACGATTTCTATCGATGTACCTCGATTTTTTTTCTGAAATTGAAGAGAATTTTTATATACAGGATCGATTCTAAATTTTACCATTGAAAAAATCGATGGAACTTTTTTGTGAACTCATCGTTTTCTATAGACTTTTTAGACATATACTGCATATCAAATAATATAATTTAATACCTACCATTAATGTTAGAAAATTTGTTTAACGATTAACAACAAACTACAGAGTGATAGCCATATTCGAAGAATGAGGAGATAAAAAAAACAAAATCTGTCTGTAGGTTGATCGACGAGGTGGAATATTGATATCTTCAAATTTTTGGGTTTTTCTGTAATCGTTTCTATAAATGAAAATATTAGTATTATTTCACTAAAGTAGTGAGGAATATCAAAATAAATTATCCTAAAAGAGGAACAGATTCGTTTCTGAAACGTACAAATATTACCTATGATCCTCTTCTTTAAAAAGTTTCCAAACTGTGTCACTGACTATCAATTTCAACAACATATAATCTCCAAAAGTTCAAAAAAAATTCCAATACCTACCTCCTGTCCCTATCCTCCCAAGGAACGCACGATGTTCTTTGAACATTATAGGGATTCCCTTTCGTGCGCTCCAAGCGATAAAAAAAAAAAAAAAAAAAAAAAAAAAAAAATACCAACATTTTCATTTACGAAAACAAAGAGAAAAAAAGCCAAAAACTTTAAATGCATTTATGAAAAAAATATTGCATTCAATGAGGACAGAGATTAATAAATGACGGCTCTGAACTGAAACAAAAAATGTTGTTTTCGAAAGGCAATTCAGAACCGTCTTATAATCGGGTTATATAATATAAATATGAATTACTTCTAATGACTAACCTTTTCGTAATCATTGGTGAATGGGGTGTTAATACTAAATCAACTATTCCATAACAACAACAAAGTAAATACATCATATCAAATGGCAGTGTTTACTTCTATGCAATCATCGGTGGTTTCGACATAACAGGGAAACGGTTTGATTATAATCACAAGGTTGATTTTAATATAAACAGAATATTTTATGACTTAATTTAGCTTTTTTAGGCATCTTGTAATTTTGACTAGTTTAATAATTACACTATATTTACAATTACTATATCTTCTACAAGAAATCAATAGATTCAATTTAGGTATATAGATAAACTCCACATCCTGTATAGAATAAATAACTCGAAAATGAACATTCCTCAACAACAACAAAAAGTATATCTGATAGGTTTTTGAATTTCTGTTAGTTCCTCTGAACGAAAGTACAGTCATGTTTCCTCAAAAAGTTCTGCTCAATGTACAGGGTGAACTAAGAACGACTGTCATCAATCAATCTTCCGTCAGCGAAAAGCTATCATGTTGTTTTCGTTGGTCTGTTGAGATTTACTTTCTCTGTATCATCTTGTGATAATATGCATACCATTACATTTAAAAATTATTTGATACTGATACTCTGGATCACGCCCTCTAGCGGCAGAGGTGATATGAATTTGAAACCAATTCAAATCACAGTTGATGGAACAGGAAGAGGCCACAACGAGCATAAGATTGCTGAATTCTATTGAAGATAACCAGAGTAACAACGTATAGAAAAAACATAACGTTTCCGCATCATCATTTTTTGAGATGGGACAAAAAGTGTGAAACAAAAAAACTAGTAATTTATCATAGATCAAACTATATATATTTCCAGTACACCTTGTTACAACGTATTTAGGAGAAAATTTCGATTTCCTCTTTACTTATAGTCGTTACGCCACCTGGCGGTAATTTTAGAAACCTTAAAATATTTTCCAGCTATTTTTAGGGTCACTTTTCTTGAGATATTTTTTTTTCAAAGTTGTATCATTATTCGGTGTTGAGATATGGCTGGTAGCCATTCTCAGTTGTTCACCCTGTACTTTCGTGTCTAAGTTGCAACGTTGAATCTATTGAAAACTGATCAACGATATTTCAACTTTGAAGGTCAAAATGCGAAAATTTGGTGTTTCTTAAAGCGTTTCGACCGTTTTCAGGCAGCCCGCTGGTCATCAAACATATTATTAGAGTAAGGGAAATGCTGGTGAAGATCTGAAAATGCCAAACGAATTCCAACAAGAACTTTGTGATTCGTTTTTGATACACATCCGAAACTTTCGCAATTATTTTCAACAAGTACGAGCGCCAAGCTGAAATTTTTGATACATTTTTCGTATTCATTTTTCTTATAAATAATATCAGCTCAACTCTCCTATGCCTGAGATAGGATCATGATGAGAGTTGCTGTTTTTTTTACGATAAATATCTAATGTTGGTGATTACACAGGATATTTTGGTTTTGAAAAATGTTAGTTTCTTAGATTCAATAGAAATTATTCGATATAATATATCATAAAAAAAGAACTCTTGAATATTTGCTGAACTTTTCAAATCTAGAATACTCTGTATATCAATCAATAAGTTCTCTTAATAAGGCTGTTAACTAAAGTAATCGAAGTTTCTCCACAGTAAGCTCGTATTTTTCAATTAGTTGAAATGAATCTTATCTAGAAGAGTAACATAGATATACAGGGTACTTCTTAAGGACGTGAAGAACGGAACTCGGGACCTACCTACCTATCTAGAAAGTTTCAGAAACAACCTGTATATTCAAAATGAATGGAAAACCAAATTAGTAATGTTTCAGTTTTTCAGATAACAATGTTAAATTCGCAGACTTAAAATTAGAGTTCTCAACAGTAACTAGATCTCAAATTATCGGAAAAATAACTTTCTGGGTATACACAGGGTGTCTCCTATACAAAAATCATAAAAAGTTTTACTGCCTTCAAATTTGAAGCTATAAAATTTTCCAAGGAATTTTTGAATGTCCTATTTGAATGGAGTTGAAAGCGAAAATAGTTGAAGGTCACAACTTCAATATTTCACCATGCTGGCTCTGGGGTCTATCCAAAAATATTTCAGAGATATAGGGTGTTCAAAATCGAGATTTTTCAACTTTGGGATATTTTTGTGTCGAAACTATTCATTATCGGTCAAAACGGCTCACATGTCCCACCTCAACTTTTGATTCACTGATTCACTGATTTACTGATATTTAATCGGAGCAGATACAGGGTGGTTCAAGATTCAGAATTCTGATCACCCTGTATCTGTTCCGATTAAATATCAATAAATACTAAATCAAAAGTTGAGATTGGGACATGTGTTTTGGCCGATAATGATGTTTCGACACAAACAAATCCTAAAGTTGAAAAATCTCGATTTTGAACACCCTATATCTGTGTAATCATTTCCGATAGATCCCAAGTGTGATCTATCGATGAAATCAGCTCTTCAGGGAGAATATGGAAATGCAATGAAATACAGGGTATTCTATTCGAAATAACAAAGTTGTTGCTACTTTTTGATAGAAACGGCAACCCTGCATTGCTGAAAATATTTCAAATGAAGAGAACGTATTCTAAAATATAAGCATGCATATTTCCATGGATTTCTCCCGACTTGATTCTCGATGTAGAGATAGTAAAAGCTCGTCGTGACATATCCTGTATATCTACGTCAGTCGGTGCATGAGATGTTGAAGTTTGTATAATAAAAAGAAACGATCTAAGGTATGAGACACCCTGTATATAATTCCATCCCCAACCATTACTCAACATTTTTATGAAGCTCTTAGGGTTCAATATCTGAGACTAAAATTCTCGTTAATTTTTGCTTTTTTTTTTTTTTTCATTGAACCCAAGATGCTGGAACCCACAACGGTTCGCTTTCTAGTCTATTGGCAGCGTTGAGCAGTTGATTGAACGCCAAAGCTAGGTCAGCATTGACGATGCTTTCGTCGAAAAAGTGGTCGTACAAAAATTCAATGCGCGATGCCGATTTCATGATGTCGTTGAACTCTTCTTCCTGAAAAATTAAAAAACACGACTTAAAAAAGAATATTTTATATTTTGAACTTGTTTTATTCTCCCAGCGACCTCCCTGTAATAACTTCCATAAGGGTTTGGGCTACTACGGTAGGTACCACCAATTGTTTTTTAATTCAACAGAGCAAAAGAAATAGTCAATTTGTATGAAACAGTAATATCATGCGCGAGTTGAATAATATACTTTAGGTACAACGATACAAATATCAAGGCAGCTTTGAAAGTATAGGGATAAATCTTCAAATACTCCATATCCTAACATTGATAAATCGAATTTACGATCTTAGTCATCAAAAACTGAATGGTAAATATTCCTTGAATTGATTGATCAGCAATTTATAACTCAATACCATTTCAAGAATAATCTGTTAACAGATTTTATTTTTGAATGATTTGCGGATTTCGCAAACGTTGGCTACTTTTTTGTACAGTCGTATTCAATAAAAAAGCGTACATCAAGTATTAAAAAGAGAGAGGATTTCGGGATCCTAGTTCTAGTTGTGTAAAACTGGCTGAGCCAATGCTTTGTGTTTTTGGGTACCTATGACAACTTTAATGTTAACATTTGTTGAACAATCATTCCCGATAGTCCCTTTCATGCAGAATAGGATGGCATTAATTCCTCTCTGTAATATGCTTGTACGCTTTTTTTTAATGCGACTGTACAACTAACGATACCGCAAACAACATTTCCATGTCCCGCCCTGTTTTTAAGATACAGAGCGAAATTGTAAATGTTGCATTTTGGAATTCCCCCTGTATATCAGCAATCAACTTATAGGAGAAGTAGAAACTGTCTTATTCCTTTTTTCCGTAGGATTCAGTGGCGTAGTCAAATTTTTAGGACAGCCTGATGCACTACATTGCCTCGCCTGTTTTTCATCACCTTGTATATTATATACTGACCGTGAATCCTCTCGAATTGTGAACGTCGAACGTGGATCTGGCATGACAAGCATTCCTTGTTTCTTTCAACACTTCTATACTGGGTGGTTTGATGTAAATGATGTAAGGTCTCAGTTGCGGGGTCCTCAGCATTTTCAGTGCTTGGTAATGTGGATTCAGAATACAGACTTTACCTGAAATCGGAAATTTGCCTTCATTAATTTGTGGTCGATTATTTCCCTCATCATGAAATGAACCAAAATCAGAAACCACCATTTTTGAACGAAATCTGTTTGAAGTGATCAAATCACAAGTACTGATTAACCACGGATAAATGTTTGCCCTCCATATTGTTTTTCATTTAGACGATTATCTATAAAAATAACAAGTTTCCATCGTTCAAGTTTGAACCCCTTGATTGATACGAATGATTTTTTTTGAAGTTCCAACCTCATCAAGATCATAGTTTATACAAGTATACATCTCATATATACATTTCAATTTCCATTTCAATACTGAACATATTGGTAAGTTAATTCTTTTTAATACATCATATTATTTTATCCGATTGTATTCTCAATTTCAGAGGATTTTTATTTTTCATGCTCTCTTTTTGGATGTTCAACAGATATTATTCAATGTTCGACGTGGCAAATAGCCAGGAAAGTAGTTTTCTGTTGAATATTCAGAAAGATATTATGTGTATATCTTTATATGAAGAAGAATGCAAATTCTCTACTTCAGAAGATTTTGTTTTCAAATTCTCATCGTGTGTATTCAATAGATGTAATTTAATGTTAAGTTGTTTTCTGTTGAATAAACCAAGAAAGAATTGATATTTTCATCACATAGAGAATGCGAATTCTCAATGTATTTCTTTAAATATATATCCATTTTTTTATGTTCATAATAATTATATCTGAGAATATATCTTTTCAATTAATCTCTCAACCGTTTTTGTGACCTAATATTGATTTTCATCAGTGAAAACTCCATTTCACATCGATTTTTCATACAAATAATTTGACATAAGGCGATGAAAATACGTCAGAGTTTGAAATCTATCTATCTATAATCTATCCGAATACCCCTCGACCTTCGCGGTCTCGGGTTTTTATCAATTTATATGATTCGACCGTGTTCCAAGCAGAATCATGCTCAAAATATTTCGGTTTAATAGATTAAATTCATCTTTGGTCCTAGGGATATAATATATGATTATCGTATTTTCACCTGCTATGACGATTTCTTTGACGCTCTCTGAAGAGGTGCCGTAGAGGTTGCCTTTGTATTCTCCGTATTCTATGAACTTGCCGGCCTCGATATCTTCTTCCATCTGTTCTCTGGAGATGAAGAAATACTCTTTGCCGTCTTCTTCTCCTGGCTTCATCGGCCTAGATGTGTCTGAGAAAAATTATTATTTACGATATACATTATATACAGGGTGTCCGTTAAAAGGAGGTCAATCCATTAACCATATATTCCTTGAACAAAAACAAAATGAGTTTCTAAATAACATTTTTCATTTTAGCCCTTTATATTCGATATACAGGGTGTCGAAGTTGGAAATTAAAAACTGTTTTTTTCTAACTATACACGTAATTAATAAGATATTAATCTCAAAATTGGTACATTACTTCAGCACAAAGAGTTACATCGTGTGGGGAAAACAAAACAGAAAATAACTGTCAAATATTCAAAATACTGGGGGTCAAGTACACACTTACCCCCATATTTTTTTGTACGTGCGCTAATGACTTCCTATCTATTTTTCTTCAAGTGTTCAATCATTTTTGAGTATTTTTTGATTCTTGTAAAATTCTGATAAACTTATTTCTTTTTAAGATAATTCGAAAAGTACTGGTTATTGTTTGATGCCTCGCGGCAATCTCATAATGTTCACATACTCCTATTTATTTCGTCGAAATTGGAAGAGGGCGTATATTATTACGTACGGAAAGGTAAATATGGAAACATCGGGTGCTCAGAGCGAATGTATCAAAATAATTTTTACACTTTTTTTTTTTTTTTTTTTTTTTTGTAAAAATTATTTTAGTACATTTGCTCTGAGCACCCGGTATTTCCATATTTACCTTTTCGTACGTAAAAAGATACGCCCTCTTCCAATTTCGACGAGATAAATAGGAGTATGTGAACATTATGAGATTATCGTAAGACGCATAGGCATCAGGCAATGACCAGTACTTTTCGAATTATCTTAAAAACAAATGATTTGATCGAGATTTTACAAGACACAAAAAATACTCAAGCATGATTGAACACTTGAAGGAAAATAGATAGGAAGTCATTAGCGCACGTACAAAAAAAATATGGGGGTAAGTGTGTACTTGACCCCCAGTATTTTGAATATTTGACAGTTATTTTCTGTTATGTTTTCCTCACACGATGTAACTCTTTGTGCTGAAGTAATGTACCAATTTTGAGATCAATATCTTATCAAATACGCGAGTAATTAGAAAAAAAAAACAGTTTTTAATTTCCAACTTTGACACCCTGTAAATCGAATTTAAAGGGCTAAAATGAAAAATGGTATTTAGCAACTCATATTGTTTCTGTTCAAGAAATATGTGGTTAATGGATTGACCTCCTTTTAGCGGACACCCTGTTATATACCCTATACATTTTTTTGATATTTGGTTTGTATATTCTTTGTCCACAGTGGTGACGATTGACATAATGAAAAGAAGTCTCATTCCAGCGCTGGCTTTGAAAAACTAAATTAGTAGGTTTCGAGTCGAAACGACACCCTGTATATCAATATTTTGAAATCTCATTTACAAATTTGGGAAAAGCAGGAAAAAATAAGTGCGGAAACACCAAATACATTCAATCTCACTCATTTTTCCTGCTCTTTTCAAATTTGTAGATGAAATTTTAAAATATTGATATACCAGGTGTTGTTTCAACTCGAAACCTACTTATTATTTTTTTCCAGGCCGGCCCTGGAATAATATTTTTTTATTGTGTCAATCGTCACCACTGTGGACAAAGAACATACAAGCTGAATATTAAAAAATGTATAGAGGTGGTTCATAAATTATGCTTGATTAAAAATATGGGGAGAATCAATAAATCACCCTGTATCTTGGTTATAAAGAATAGACCCAAGAAATATAGATTATTTAGAAGTACCTTGGTGTCCTCCATCTACCCTTACTGTATGCGCATTTCCCTATTAAACACCCTGTATAGTGCCTCCCTAGTAAACATTCGAACGGCTGTGATTTATGTACATACAGGGTGTCCCTGAAAGATCTGTACAAACTCTCGGAACATATTTCTGAGGTCAAAATAAGCCGATTCAAAGCCATTTACCTCAGTCCGAAATTGCTCCGTTTCCCAGATACATGGTGGTCAAGTTGAAGAATAAAAATCGAATTTCTCAGAATTAATGAATATTTTCAAACGTATCACTCCAAAATCTGATATTTCGGGGTTTTTTGGGATGCGAAACATGAATACGGGCACCTTTTAACTGTGGTCATTAGAAGGAGCTTACCAATGCACTTCTTATGGTTTAGAATAGCCATAACTTTTTTCTCAGTGTAGTTTCTTACTTTATTCGTCGAATAAATAATTTTCTGAACATGTTCAAGCAAAACAAAGAGATTCTAAAAAAAATTGTTCTAAAATTGTTCTATCCGTCATTCGGTTGCCCCCTTACGAGCAACCCTCAGAAGTCTTCGAAAGACTTGTGCGAGCAAGGAATGACGGGGGCCTTACCTTTTAACGTGTGATCCCAAACACTTTCTTAGGCCATCAGAAAAAGTCTGCGTTCGTGGGTCTCGAACCCACGATCGATACCTCCACGTGAATCGATATTGAAGCATCGAAGCACTGAGGTACGCCGGCCTATATTCTTGTGATAATCCCTTAATGTAAGCAGATTTCGAGATATTTCGGTTTTTAATTTTCGATGCAGCACCGAAATATTCAAATTATTTTGAATAAAAAATGTTTGCTGTTATTTTCTTGGATGTAATCTGGCTAGTGAATTAGCAGTGCAAAAATGAATTTTTCAAAATACTTCCTTAGAGTGTACCACCCTGTATCTAGGAAACAGAGCAATTTCGGGCTGTGATAAGTTGCTTTGAATTAGTCCACTGTACAGGGTGATTCACCATAAATGTCCCCCCCTTCTAGCTCACTTATTTTTGAACCGTTTTAAAAATTCGAAAGATAATCTTAAATGATTTTTCAGAAATTTTTTTCCCGTTGCATCAGAAAATACAGGGTGCTCGGAACAAACGATCTACAGAGTACTAATTGATTTTTTAAAATGGAACACCCTGTATTTTATTGTATTTTTAGATTCTTCCTGAAGAGCTGATTTCATCAATGCATCACACTTGGGGTTTAGCGGGAATGATTACAGAGATATAGGGTGTTTAAAATCGAGATTTTCCAATTTTAGGATTTTTTTGTGCCGAAACTATTCATTATTGGTCAAAACGGCTTCTATGTTCCGATCTCAACTTTTGATTTACTATCTAGTGAAATTTAATTGGAACATTTACAGGGTGGTTCAAGATTCAGAATTCTGGTCACCCTGTATCTGTTCCAATTATTAAATGTCAGTAGACCCCAAGTGTGATACATTGATCAAATCAGCTCTTCAGGGAGAATCTAAAAATACAATGAAAAATAGGGTATTTCATTTAAAAAAATCAAATAGTACCCTGTAGATCGTTTGTTCCGAGCACCCTGTATTTTCTGATCTAGCGGAAAAAAACTTTATCAAAAATCATTCAAGATTATATTTCAAATTTTAAAATCGGTTCAAAAATAACTGAGCTAGAGGGGGGGACATTTATGGTGAATCACCCTGTACATAATGAACGTCATTCGAAATAATAATGATTCAGTTCAGTTCTAGTGAAATATTTCAGTTAGTTCAGAAGAAAGAATATTACTATTGTAATATAGATAATAGAAGAGGACAGAAGTGCAGATGTTGCCGAACTTTTATCTGACTAATACCATCCAGGTTTTTTTTATGTGACTCTACTTTGAATCGGCTTATATTATGCTACGATTTTGTACAGACCTTTCAGGGACACCCTGTATAAAGTGGAAGTAAGATCAGATGTAACGTTGAAGTAAAGTAGAAGTAACGTTGAAGTGAAGTAGACGTGAAGTAGAAGTAATCCAGTAGAAACGAATGAAAAAAACACATTGTACGGAATAACGACTCACAAGGCGTCGGTGTTTTGTACTTGTCGGCATCGGTGTCGATCAGCCGGCGCTTCAGCTCGTTCCTGCCGACGCCGGGCGCCCCTATCAGCACGATTGGTCGATGGATTCCAGGTCTGGGGTACAGCTTGGCCACCTCCTCGTAGGTGGCGATGTGCTCTCGGTCGAAGTCGTCGTTCTCCGTGGCGTCGTAGATGATTTTCTTGGTTTTCCTCGGTTTGGTGGCGCATCTGGGCGAGGCGGGGAAGGTGCCGCCGCAGCTGATGACGGCTGGGGAGGCCGAAACGGAGCAGAGGCCTGCGTGGGGGAAAGTGGGGGATTAGTGCAAGGTGGAGAGACAAGATTTGTACTAATTTTGTAACTTTTTATGTTGCAGGATAAGGCAGATTTTAAATGAGATCGTTCTATTGCTAGTTTTGGTGCAAGAGTCCGCTGGAAACAATTTTGATGATGATGATGATGATGAAAATTAACCCCTTTTCCTTTCCTTTTGGTCCCGGCATCACGAGTGAACGGCTGTATCGATTTCACTAATTCTTTTTTTGTTGTTGTGATGTTTGTTATTGTCGGGAGAAGGTTCTTATGGAAGGAAAAATTAGGGAAATTGCTAGGAAATTCTCATGTCACGGTGTTTGTTGCCAAACTCCTCCGAAACGGCTTGACCGATTCATAAGAAAATTTTTGGTAGATCTGAGAATCGGTCGTTAGCTATTTTCTGGATTGAAAATTCAAGATGGCGGATCCAATATGGCGGACGAGTTTTGTAATTATGAACCTATTCTATTCAAAATTGCTATCTGGGGGTTTTCGGGGGCAGATATTATGCTTCTTTCATCAAAATTGGAAAATTCAAGATGACAGATCCAATTTGGCGGACGAGTCTTGTAATTATGATCTGGAGGCTTTCAGGGTCGGTCAACATTGAAAATTCAATATGGTAAACGATGAGCATTGTAATGAATAGTAGAAAAACTAAAGAAACACGCTTTTATAGATAACCAAACTATAAGGAAATAGAAAATAAACAGTAATTTGAAGAATCAAAGAGAGAGAATGTCGAACTAAAAAGAAGTAGAGAATAAAATAATAAATGTTTGTTGATGAATATTCAACTGAAGGAATAATATTTCCTATATACATTATACACTCGTGTTTAGAGATCATGTAGCACATGAACGGTGTCAGTTATCTGAAAGAGGTTGATTTGTATGTTGCCGAGGAGATTTCCTAACTGTGAATCTAGACAATAAGAATTTTTGGGCGGATGGAGAAAATTAAAGAAAATAAGTGAATTTAAAGTTTATTTTTTCCATATTCCAGGGTAAAATCAGAATAAATCCAAAAAATCAGTTTTTTGCAACTCTGCCTGAATAGTAATGGAAGGATTAGTGCGAGGTAGAGAGACAAGATTTGCTTTAATTTTGGGTTATACTCGGAGATCACGAAATTTTTTTAAGTTGTATGAAGGATATACCGCAGATTTTAAATTCAGTCGTTCTATGGCCAAATTACTATATGGGTGAGAAGTGATATTAAATGTTCACTTCAAATTTTGTAGTGAACTCACCAATTTCCTCTCCATTCTTGGAAACCTGGCTCCTATCATGAATGATCCTTCTTTCTTGAAGAGCTCTAGAAGGAATAAGCCCTGCCCTCATATTCCTATCTCCCTCACGTCTAGCTTGCCACCTGAAACAAAATAGTTATTTTTCTGCAACGGGAAAAAAGTTTGACATTTCATCTCTGTTGACAGCTCATTCAATTTCACTCTCCATAAATTACTCTCTTGATTTAAAAAGTTGCGTGTACTCAGTGGTTGTTTAGTAATTTTCATAACCTCGAATTCGAATGAAAGATATAAAAGGACTTGCAGTTCTTTCTCGGAAACGGTGTTGTTGGGATAAAAATATTACTTTTCCTCCATATAAACATGTGTCCTAAAATTCACCCCCTCCAAGCTACAGCCACTGTGAGTTAGGTAAAGAAAAATATATTCTGAAATTGTGGCTAAAATAACGGATCAAATCTTCTGAAAATTGGTAGGCCCCCTGTCCTTTCAGACACTTTATTTCATTATTTCTTAAAAATTATTCAAACCAAGTTCTGGGGGGTTAGAGGGGGGGTCCTCACTTTTATTGGCCGAAATGGAGTGCATTTTGGGGCACATGTTCATATGAAGAAAAAGTCTTATTTTGATCCCAACTATACGTCCTTGAAATATGTACATCGAATTTTGAATCACCCGATATATCCGAAAAAAAAAATGAGAAGTTACATTTCATAACCTGTCAACAAGCTGTCAACAGAGATGGAATGTCAAACTTTTTTCCTGTCACCGAAAAAAAAAACTTTGCTCTCTAAAAAAGTATTCAATCAACTATGATTCTATGACCGTGTTTTTTCCCTACCAGTACGCATCATCCTGTGACACTATGTGCAGGACGTCCCCTTTCTTGAAGTCCAGCCCTGCTTCTTTGCAAGGGATGTATGGGTCGGTGGACGAGTCGTAATCGAAATGGGCTCTCACCCTAACCTTACTTTCCCTAGCACCGCTTTTTCCGTTGGCAGGTACCAGCTTGAAAGTGATGGTACCCTCCGAGTTTTGCTGAAAACCGGAATCGAAAATTTGGTTCGGTTCTGAATGAATCAGAGTATTTTTATTTTCATTAAGTGACAAATTATGAATATAACAGGGTGGGTGATAATATGATAGATATATAGGAATATCTTTCATCTGGTATGTAGTACCTATATTATCTATTCAGTACCAAAATTTCAATGGCGTATTTGTCAGTTCGAAATTCTACTTCTATATTTTTTAACAACTATCACTTCTTCACCAATCTACATGACATTAATGTTTCGATATATGTTTTCTATCTTCTCTTTTTCCTTCATATAGTGTCATTCATAATGTTGGCATCATATGGGAAAAAGTTTTAATATTAATTCAATTCGACTTGAGTTTTTTCAAATTTCAAATGAATCGCTAAAAATAGACTTATCAGATTGATTTTCAAAAAAAAATACTGGGAAAAGTGGTTACTATTCCAATTTCACAAATGAGTCTTGAATTTTAACGTTCTATTACAACTTCAAGTTTTTGATATTCTCTCAATTTCTATGAAATGTCTAATAAATAAAAATAACACGACAAAATTATTTCATTCTAATAGCTATCTTGCAAACATTATTTAGCGACAAAAGTATGATTTTCTTTAGAAAATAATAATCCCCGCTTTAAATTCATCGTCTATCATTCAAGAGCGGAATTTATTTATATTCATATTTTCACTACTAAAATGATGGCAAGATCATCTATAAAGATATCATCAAACAACAAGACATATATCTAACCAAAGTTTAGGACAGTTTTGTCGAAGTTACAATAATTAGGAGTCAAAAAATATCAAGAACTAAAAATTGCAATAGAATAGAGCAAATAAGCCTATTTTGAGCAACTAATTTGAAAAATTCTAACTTTCGAAGACATTTCACTTTTTTTTTCCAAGCCAGACTCAACAACCAAGTCAAATTTCAAAATAAATTATTATTAAAAGTGTTTCACATATGATGCCAACTTTATGTATGACACTGTAGGCCATTACATTTTTTAGGTAATATAATGTAGCGTTGCAACAATATAACACGTTACTGTGACATTGTTGGAACGTTACATTCACAAATTTACATTTGCAATATTGCTGAACGTCCGTTTCATCTATTGCTACAACCTTGCATCAACATTGCTTCCAAATTAGCTTAGTGGGTTGCAAAAATAAAATTGAGAAGTCAATTTCTCCAGTTTCTTTTTATAATTGACTCGATTGTTCTAATTCTTACCAAAATTGTGAGAACATCGTTTGGAGTTCTGCCTTCGACATTGATGTTGTTGACTTCAACCACTTCATCCCCAACATGTATCAACCCCGATCTGTCAGCAGCCCCGCCATGCATCACCCTTGCTATGACAATTTTCCCTGTCGCTTCGTCGGTTTTTATTGTAGCACCCTGTATAAATCATTCGAGAATTATACTAATTTTGTCGACTATTTGGTTCAGGAAAGTTTGGTGCTTATTTAGACAGTTCGAAAACTATGAGAAAATCTCTCTTGGAAAAAATAATATGAAGGTGGGGTGCCAAAATTATAATTTCTAAAGAATTTCTATGATTTTGTATTCATCTATCGAATTTACAAATACTGATTTGCAGGGTAGGTGTAGTAGAGGGTCATGATGATGCATATGAATGATGATATAGGGGTGATTGATTTTTTTGACAATTTTAAATACTTACAACGATAGGTTCAGCACTGTGTGAGCCAGTCTTTGTGAAACAGAAATACAAGGTTTTTACTTATTTGATGGAGATAATTTGATTTTTGACATCATATATTGAGCAGAAAAGAACAGGTACAAGTTCCACGAAGGTATAAAGTCAATATTTCAATATTTCGTACATTATGTCACTTTTGCTTTTTTGGAAAACTCACCAGGGGCTCATTGCTTTTGACCAGCTGTACTATCTTGATGGTCTCTTCCTCTTCTTCTATATCACACGGTATATCGGGTAAATGGGGGTAGTAGTCTTTCTGTGCCACTGCGTCGTGAGAATACAACAATCCCTTGAAAAAATAAATAGTTGTATCATGAAGTCTTCTCAATAAGAATGAGAATCTGTTGGTCTTTTTCAGTTTCCGAGATATTCAGATTAAACTCGAAACATAGGTTACGTTTTAGGAATTGCATCAAGGAATTCATTCACGTTTATTGACGTCATTCACTCACCAAACTGTGTCGTCGGACACAGTTTGGTGGACAATATGCATAGATTTTTTTTGTCCACCCTGTATTGCTTTTCGTGGTGGCAAAATTCAGTCTGCTATGTGACTGAATCGGTATATTAATTTCAAAATGTGGTTATCCAGTAATGGAGAGGAAGAAGACATCAAAATTCGAAGTCTAGTCTCGTCTTTCCGTTTTTCCTCGAAAACGAAGCGTTCTATCGAGTATCAACAAGAGGATCTCTTTTGTACATAATTAAATAGCCTTTTCGGACATTGAATGAAATTTGAAAACTTTTTGTCGTTTTACTTTCAAGTAAAATATAAACAATAATATTCCCGTAACGGTGCCACTGGTAGAGAAAATGGAGATTTTCAAACATCAGAAAATGCACCTGGGTGCATAAAAAACGTGTACCAAATTTCATGAAGATGTATACAATATTGTCTCAGCTATTATCAAAAAACTGAATATTTTTCAAAACTTCATCACCCTGTATCTGAAAATTTAAGACTTTCAGGACATACGTTCATATGAAGTTTTCTTTTTAAAATGAATCAAAGAATCACCCCCTCGAATATTAGCATGTCTTTAAGGAACACCCTGTATATAGGTACGTCACAAACCTAACGGTTCCACATGATAATGTAAGTATACATGGGCTTCGACCTCCCTTTAACGTCATGAAACTGACGTCTCATTTTACCCATTTAAGTGACGTTCACTCGACGTCGAGATGATGACGTGATTTTTCACGTCATAGAAAGTACGTAAAAGTTAAGTCATAAATCGGTGTGTGACGTCTCTGACGGAAAATCACCAATTAGGGACGTCACATCAGTGACGTGCTCATTCGCCATCTGGTTGCCTGATGGGAATTGACAACATTTCTTTCAAAATGTTCTTCATAAAAACTTGTTACCTGTAGGTGCGGCCTCTGCAGCAGCGCGAACAGCTCCTCGGCCTCGTCGGCGACTCGCTGCCGGGACACCAGCTCTTCCAGCACGTCGGAGAGCACCTCCGACGAGGTGGAGAGGACGGGGAAGTACCGGCGACCGTCGCCGAGAATCGCGTTGTGCGCGTTGACGAGCGCATGGAGCTCTTTGGAGCGCAGGAGGCGGCTCAGGAAGCCGAGTTCTTCTTCGCTGGAGGGCAGGTCGGTCGAGGGGTGTTGGAGGGTGTCGAGGAGACGTGTCAAAGCTTGGAAAAGAGGCGGTAAATATGCCAATTGAGACGAGTTGTATCAATATTTATAATGTCACCGCTCACTCAACCTATATTACTCTCTATAGCCACAGAATAAAGCCACAGAATACTTGTTGGGTATTCTGTGCTATAGCCTCAAGGGGGATCTCTGCATTAATCATAATATGCTACGGATGAACTAACGACATCTTATTGCTATTCACATATTATTCATCAATAAGGTTATTCGCAGCGCAGTGAAAAAGGTGTCAGGTTAACGGCCGATTCTGGGCGGAGCCTCTCTACCTACTCAGACGGATACCAGTTCCCGGAAAGGATTTAGTTTTTTTATTCTCTCTACTAAGATGTCAATTTTTATCGTGATGATATGATGTAAAGGTTGCTGTAAAGAGCTTTGCTCCACGAAACATATGCGCAAATAAGCACCCTATTGCCTAACACCAGCCAAATAACCGCAACGCGTGGAGGATTGTTTTTACTTTTTTAAATGTGTTTTGTCCCTATATATTATTTTTATTGTCCATGGATTGAAAAAAAAAACGATGAAATGAATGAATTTGAAGTCAAGAGTGAAAAAATTATTTCACAAGAGAGAAGGTTCACATCTCCACCGGAGAAAGTTCTCCTATAATATAATAAAACTCCCTAACCAAACTGAGCATCCACAATTTTATTGCAAAAAATAATCCTCAAAAAACACGATATCCCAACATACCGGGTGTCCCATAAACATACCGACAAACATTAAGGGATGGTAGAGGACATCAAAATAAACATTTTTGCTCGATAAACAAGTCCGGAAACTCTTCGTTTTCGAGATACAAAAAATGATTAAAAGTCATTAATAATAATTAATGATTAGTAAAAAAAAGTTATTGAAAGTTTTATTAGTTTTTCAATATTTCAATAAACGCATTGGTAAAATGTAAGGTATAATTTTGAAGCATTTAATTTTTTTTTCATAGATGTAAGAGATATGGTTTTTTTTTCTTCAAAACGAAGGTAGATACGAAAAAATTTCAAGGGACAAAAAAGTTGCATTTCTAGTTGTTCATTAAAAAAAAATATCATAATTACAAAAAATCTACTGGGCGATATTTTTTTGCGCAAAAACTATCCGACATATAGCCCGTGGGCACGCCCCTGAAATTATTGGGCAAATTCTAATAGCTCCAAAAGATACCTTATGAATGTATCAATAATCTGTGAAAATTTCATTGAATTCGACTAAATCGTTTTTACGATATTAATAAAAAATCGGTTTCCTAAAAAAATTTTAACACCCTGTATCTAGAAAACGAAGAGTTTCCGGACTTATGTTTATCGAGCAAAAATTTTTTTATGTCCTCTACCATCCCTTAAAGTTTGTCGGTATGTTTATGAGACACCCTGTATATGGGCGAGTGAACTGATAATGAAATTTATTGGCATTCAATTACTCCACATAGGGACCTAAATTAATTTTTGCAACATTTATTCTTACGCTATTTTCATATGAATAATGCTAGGAATAATGCTAGTCTATGCGTTGTTCGAAACTGGTGAATTTCAGAACCCATTTCGAACGTACCGTCATGAACGCCATTTGGCGACACGTCGATAAATTGTGACGTCAGTTTTCATGCTGTTTCGTTATTGGTCATATAATCTTCCATTCCCATTCACGAAGCATGGTTGTCAAGTCATCAATTATAATCAAGTTGCTTTTGGGTGTATGATAAATTGACATTCATCATACAGGGCGTGGAAAGAAATTCTGAATTGAGACTCTATTACGAATCTGCGATTAGAGGTCTATAAAAATCACAAGTTTCCATCGTTCAAGTTTGAACCCCCTGATTAGGTGAAAGTATTGAAGAGATACAAGGGTTATCCCCAGACAACACAAGTGAATCCATTGGACAACCAATGGATGTCCAGCTATGGATACCCTGGACATCCATTGGATGGACGGCATTGTCCAGTATTTGTCCAATGGACATCCATTGGATAATACATGTCCAACAGTTTGGACATACATTGGAAGTCCATTGGCTTTCCATTAGACATCTGATGGATTTCCATTGGACATCCAATATTTGTCCTTTCCATTGAAAGTCAATTGGATACTCATCAGACATCCAATGGATTCCCAATGAAGATCCATTGTATGTCCATTACATTTGAAATACCATTGTATAAGTACACATCAGAACTCTAATGGATGTCTACCAAAAATCCAACTTATGTCCATTCCAATGATAAGTTTATTGGATACTCATCAGGAATACATTGGATTTCCATTGGATATCCAAATTTTGTCCAGCCAGAACGTAGAAATTAAAAAAAAGTTGTCCTGTGAGGGGATCGAACTCCGGACCCCGCTCTCGTGGATCACAACGCTAACCTCTGGACCACTGAGCTGTTATAAATATTATAGCAAGTATTTCGTATTCACGGTATTTCACATCGAGAGAAAATGCAATTTGCTGAAGTTTAGTGCCGCAATAAAGCTTTTACACGGCCCTTATCAAAAGTGTTACAGGGTGATTCATCTTTTTCGAAAGAAACCCGCCGTATAATATTTGCCCATATCGATCTTATTTGCACGGCCTAAATGGTTTAAAATTGAAATTGGATGAAAATCAACTTCAAAATAAGTACCTACCTCTATATAGGTACGTAACCTACAAAAATGATGAGACGTATAAAATCTTGAAAAATAGTACCGCGAGTGCGAAGTTGTCCGTGATTAATGTTCATATATAATAATATATTATATATTATTGGTAAAAATATTTCAATTGAAATAGAAGAGTCATAAATGACACATACATACTTTGCGAAACGATTTCCATTGGATATAAGTATGATGGATATCCATTGGCTGTAAAAATTTCGTTGTCCATTGTACAACTACAAAATGGGTGTCCATTGTATGTACAAATCTCTATGTCCATTGTACATATACACAATGGATGTCCATTGGACATCCATGGACATCCGGCTACCTAATGGATTCAAAATGGACATCCAATGGATGTATGTGTGTTATCTGGGTCAGAATGCTGAATCTTGAACCACCCTGTATTTGTTTCAATCAAATGTCAGAAGATAGTAAATCAAAAGTTGGGATAGGGACATGGAAGCCGTTTTGACCAATAATGAATAGTTTCGACGCAAAAAAATCCTAAAGTTGAAAAATCTCAATTTTGAACACCCTATATCTCTGTTATCATTCTCGCTAGACCCCAAGTGTGATGCATTGATGGAATCAGCTCACGAAGGAGAATGCGAAAATTGAATGAAATACAGGGTGTCCCATAAGAAAAAGTATAACTTTGATACGCCACGCATTTCTGAGTCACCCTGTATAAAGCAAAATAATTTGGAAATGTGCTGCTCATGATCCTAGATCATCTCTGAAATTTTTGTTTGTCTATCTCGAACAGTGAAGACGTTATATCACTTTGCCACACTAATGACTCACCCTGTATACCTTCCTCATCAGATACCACCTACCTGATCCACATTTTTTTTCTTCAATTCTCTCATTTGTGTTTCATAATGGACATACCTACTGTGAAATAGCTGACTTACCATGATTCACCTCATTTTTGGTATCTAAAATTTCCAGCCATCCAGTTCCATTAATTCAGGTTCTTAATCTATAGTCATTGACTCAATAATCACACATTTCATCATTATTGTATACAGCTTAACTTGCTTTGAACTATTTCTGAATATCTGGGATATGGTTAAACAATAGGCACCATGATTTTTTTGAAAAATATTCAATTTTATAGTATCTAGTCCTTCAGCAAAGATGAGAATCATGACTTCAATGAGGAATAGGTATCGTTTCAGTATTGAATAATATAAAGCACTATGAAATGCTAGATGAATGAAATGGTTGTAGGTATGTTCAAGTTGAAAATAATCATGCTCAAGCTTAGGTATACCAGAAAATAAAATCATGAAAAATGAAACAAAAACATAGAAACATAAAATTTTATTGAATAAATGAACAAAATCAACACAAAAAATATATTATCTATGTACAAAATGTTGATATGTGAATGAAGTCAGTACACCTACTATCACCTTCTCTATTTCATCAAAAATGTATAAAGTTTTGGAATTACAGTTTTGCAAAAAATAGTAGATTGTTTTATTAGGATCAAAAGTGACACTTTGTTTGACAAGCGAATTTTGCATTTGCGAGGCGGAGCGTTTAGCGAAGCCGAGCGAAAGCAAAATTTGCGAGTCGAACAAAGTCACTTTTGATCCGAATGAAACATGCTATTTTTTCTGCAACCGAAACAAATAACTCAAATAAATATGTGAAGTTACCACCAATACCGTGCCATATGTATGCAATGCAACAAATATTGAAAAATAATCCGTGTGGTGAGAACATTCTACCTGCATCAACAGCAGGTTCATTCAATTTTCAAGGATGTTCGAATTGTAGTTTCAATAATTGTAGTTTCAATATAAATACAATCACAGAGTGACATGTGTATGGACCAGGTGCCATAATGGCAAATACCGCGTCAGTGCCAGCTATAGAAACAAGACTTGGAAAATGTTAGGTTAGTGAGCACATCAACAATAAGAATAGCAATTATTTTTTCCTCTCCGTAATACAATGTTTGTCGCTTGATAATCGAATGAAGGTTAACAATACCGTTGTTTGAGACAAAAAACTATTGCTTGCCGTGATTATCCAAAAACAAGTTATCCATCACGAGAATAACGAATGAAATACAGATCAAGCAAGTATTTGAATCTTAAAGGCTTCCCTGATCAAAACAAAAATACTTGACTGAGATGTTAATAATTCCAATACTAAACTATAATAAGGTGTATTTATATCTCCAGCATGGGTATGAAATGCCAAATCTGCTGAAATCGGGAACAAATCAGGTATGCCTCTCAACCCAAATAACCAACCGTCACAATGTTTATTCTTGATGACGTCCAGTAGATCCTTTTTAGTTCCTAGGAGCTAAAGTTCAACTTTAGCTCCTAGGAACTAAAATTCAACTTTAGCTCCTAGGAACTAAATATGTTGCCTAGCAACATACCTATTTTTGTGTCAGTAATAGAAACGTCAATTTAAGAGCTAATTTTGGTATCAAAATGGACGACTTTTGTGTCGGTTGCAGAAAAAAAATATTTACAATCATCATTGAGTATATAAAAAATTCAATAGGGTTGTTGTAGTTTCATTAATAGAGAAGATACATAGTATGACTGTCATTATTGTATAATAGATAGTATCCTTCATTCACACATCTATTATCTATCTATGACACAAAAAGCTTAATTTTCAAAATAAAATAGAAACCCAAAGCAAATCCAATGCATTCCTGCTCACCTGGATCCCATTTTTCTCTTGTACCATTGGCCATCACATTCGCTGTCACTCTGTGGATACAAACACAAAAAAATACAAATTTCTCAAACTACCTAGGTAAACTCAGATATTTCTAACTACTACCACAAAATAGGTCATTGCACTTGAATTTATGATGACAAAAATAACCTCACACAGTATGGTATACTGCACGGAAGTGAATCAATTGAATTGGATTTGAAATCTCAGCACTTTTATGAAATTAGATCACTAGAAGGTAATAATAGGAATCATTTTTTAATCAAGATCATACTGGATAGGCACAGCTTTTTATATGTTACCAAGATTTTTAGCTCGATTTTCACTAACCTTTGATTGAAAGCAGCATAACTATTGGGTGGCCTTGTTTGGTATCAATAATTATTAAATAATTATTGTAGGGTATAATTTTTTATTGATGTAAAAGAATTATTAAACTTTTCTTGAGTCATGAATAAGGCAATATGACAATAATCTCTGACGTCAATACGTCTGAGAATTGATGACTTGACGTCATTACAATGACATCATGACACTGACAACTGACAAGAATGACAAACGACATTTCAAGTATTAAGCGTTTTTCACTGGTAGAATGAGTTCAGCACAAGTTCCACTTCAATAGACACCTGGAATTGTACTAAAATTTTGAGAACGTAGCGCCAGAGCGGCGAGTATCGAAAGGAGCGCCTAAAGTTTTCGAACCATTCCCAAACCTAATCATCAGATTGGTAACAGTGAATCACGTGATACATAATAGCCGCATGCGCATTCACTATTTTCTCATCGATTCTACGTAAATTCTATGTCTTATGACGCCATCTATAGATAATTCTCAGTGGGATGATATTATTGAATTGCTGATGTTTCCAACTTTCCTCAGCAACATTTTGAAACATCATAATTATACTTACCGGCCATCTATGCGCAACTATCGGAAAATGTGTATGTAATCGAAATGAAAGACTGGAGACAATTTAATATTTTTATTTTTAATTCACCATACATACATAAAATAATGATGTGCATTGTCGAAACAACGAAAAATCAAAAGATATGAATAAATTAAGTCATACAAAAATTATACATAAATAGAAACTGCACTTGAATAAGTCGAAAAATCGTCGAATAAATCAACTGCAGGTATGTCAATCTGTCTCTACGAGTAGCACAACTTGAATTTGAACAATATAATCATTGCGTACTGACTAATCAGGCTAGTTTTTTATATAACTTCATAGGTTTGTAATGCTATGTTTATATCTGAACTAACATCGAACTATATTATATTTAAGTATACATTAAAATAAAGCTTGTACCTGAAATTTGGGTGAACGAAAGTAGGCCAAAGAAATATGACAAATTAATTTCCTCTGGATTAAAATCAGCTCTTTACTATCGTGGGTGAGAGACAAAAATGTCTCATCTTCCATATTTCTTTCCGGTGCTACCAACGTAGCACTATTGAAATATAGAGGACCAATCAATTTCACCATGTTTACCATTCAGTCTGTGTCACTGAACGAGTTTTGATGGGCTCTGCCACTAAACAGCGCGTAACAAAATGGTGTGTTAAAAAATAGCGCCATAGATCAACAACTTTATTGACGATTCAGTGAACATACAAATTGATTAGTTTGTTTGGGTAGATAGTCTTCTTCATCACGCATTATGACATTTCACCAATCTTTTACAATTTTTTATCCAGTTGCAGATAATTGTGATCTCTCTTTTGAGTCTGTTTTTATTCGTTCTTGTCAGATTTAGTTTCAATGTGTTTGATAAATATCCGGGTTAGGAGACCTCGTAGGAGACTATTCACATAAATAAACTAACCTATCTGTATATGGGTTGCCTGCAAGATCTGTCAGATGATCGACCCTGGAGGTAAAACATTGAAATATAACCTCACATTTCTTATTTGTTTACAAGGGATTGAAGTAGTATTATTTTGGCATAAGAATTGTAATTTTCGGCTATTCAATAATCCAAGCATGCCATATCACATTGTGCTGTTGTACAATGCGCAAAAATGCAGCGAGAGACGCAGGAATCCGAATTTTCAGGTAGGTGAGGTAGGTACATTGTGATCTAAAAGTACTGTAGTCACTCACATATAGTTTTCATTTTTAAATTTTGTCATTTATCATTGGAATTGCTCGAGGCATCCCTTCTGCAATAGGAGCTGATAAAAGTACTCAGTACTCGTGAAGTTTCTGAAAGGAGGCAAGAATATGAGATTTGTGCAATCAAACGGGAGGACTGGTATCTGACCTGCTGACGAAATATTTTCACTCAATTAGCAGAATTAGCTTCTATTGCAGAAGTGGTAGAAGGATTTCTAATAAGAAATTACAAAATTTCATAATGAGAACTATGTGAGATTACTCTTTACCGGAAAAATCATATTCCTTCGGATCTAGCTGCATTTTTTGTGCATTGTACAACAGAACAATATGATAGTATTATGTTTGAATTGATGAGAAGCCTAAAAAAACACAATTCGTATCGCAAAATATTGTGAAAAACTATTTCAATCCAAATAAACAAATAAGAAAAGTGAGGTTGTGTTTCAATGTTTTTGTGTTTTACCCTCGGGGTCGGTCATCGTGCACGCGACCTATAGTACATCTTTTCCAGTAGAAAAAGTTGTCGGTCGATGGAGTTATCATTTCGTCTAAGATACTTTTTGTTTCAACTCTATTTTTTTACGCGCTCTTCTGTATGCGCTGTTTTGTACGCGCTGTTTTTGTCACGCTCTGTTTTTTGGCGGAGCCTGCCAATATGCTGCCAATGATATTTTATTTATGTTTCATTAAAATAGCTTGATGACACAGACAATGTGTAGACCTCCCTATATTTGAATAGGGTGAGAAATATGGGAGAGAAGAGGACGTTTCTCTCTCTCTCTCTCGTTGAATAATATATGATTATGCGATTTCACGAAATATTCACGAATCGCAAATAGTAAACTAAAACGAACGAAATATCTCAAAGGTCGCTGGTGAATTATTCTTGAAGTTCCTCCTAGCAGTCCTAACTGCGATTTCAATTATGTTGTGTGTGAAAACTTCTCTTTCAATCATATTTTTTCGGGAAAATGAATATTTAATCTTATTATTTCGGAAGTTCAGCAGCCTCTAAAATTTCATGATATTCAAGAATATATGTGACTCATTCAATGAAATCGGGATTTGCTGATATTTTACTCGTCATATCTCTTTGGGCTTCTAAAATACAATATCGAAAAATGCCAATCTCACGTATCGAGCATATATCATTAATAAAGTTCCATACAAACGTCATTTTATTATACAGAGATATGAAATAAAACTTGCCATTCAGGGTTGTACCATCTAAAGGAAAAACATCAAAACGCACAATTTCGTGATTAAAATTTAGTAATCGGATGACATAAGTGGTCATAGATTTGGAAGGCACTTACTACTCTTTTTTGAACACATCAAGCCTAGTATCGAACTCAAGAGTCTCTATATAAACGCAATGGACTTATTCAAAGAAACAGATAATTTTATAAATATAGATCCGAAATATGGCAACATCCAAAAATTAAGATAAAGTTTCAAAGGCCACTTTTTGAAAATATCACTTCGCGAGATGCAAAAAGTCAAACAAGCCTGGTAGACCCATAAATGGCAGGAAGGCATATACATTTTTTTCTCATTTAAATCGTAATATCATCTTTTCTACATATATAAGATTTATATAAATTTTGTACATTATCCTAGGTATAACCCTAAACTCTAAACAAATCACAAAAATATTTTTGTTGGCTCCGTGACATTTTCTTCTAGAACTAATCCAAAGGATGAGAGTTTGTGTTTTTTTCAGTGTGTGCTACTTTTCAACGTGAAAACAGTTGCGACTTTTTTGTGGCGCAGCACCATAGATTTACAGATAAGTCAATCTCAAGTTCGAGCTGCACTACACTTTGAACATACACGACACCTAATTTTTTCACTAGTCATTCTTACTACGTCATAACATATACGATAGATACATTTGGCATTGCTACAGTTCGAGAAATCATAGCTTTCAACACATATACGAGATTCGAAATAGTCCAAAACGGAAACAACTACATCCAGATCTTCACAACATGCAAAAAGTACCCTTTCACCTTGATTTTTAATCGATCTTGTGAATTTTTGTTCAGTCAGGCAAGTATTTGAACTGAGGCCATTTTCACACAAATAGGTACCGGGTGTACAGGCAATATCTCGCTTATTTGACAAGGTAGTTGAAAAATTGAAAAACTTCATTTAATAGCATTAAAGTACCTTCCAAATGACATATAAAAAAATTCATTATATTTGACAGTTCTCTGGCAGCTACCCCCCACATTTTATTTCCAAATGGCATCCCCTGTATATTTTCATTGGAAATTACGTGTCACTCAATTTGGAATACAATGATAGCGTATACTTGGTATTTTTTTTAAACAAGTATCGTTGCTATCGTTGTATTCCTTATACGCAATTCTGAATGACAATATACAGGGGGTGCCATTTGAAAATAAAAATTGGAGGATAGCTGCCAGAGAACTGTCGAATGTAATAGATCTTTTCATATGTCATGAGAAAGGTACTTCAATGCCATTCAATGCAGTTTTTGAATTTTTCAATTATCTTGTCAAATAAGCGAGATATAAGTGATCCCCGATAAGAATCCGTCATTGAATCTTCAAAAAAAAACAGCAACACTTTTTCGACTGACATTCATTCGAAAAATATGTTACTTATTTTTCCAAACACACTTCTAATATTTCAAAATGATGAAAATCGGTACAGGAATGTTTCAGATCGTCTTGACAAATAGGGTGTTATTCATGTATGGCCAAACTTCAAGGGGCGATACTTTAAAGTGATTCTAGACGAAAAGTCCATATGGCCATAGCTCCGAAAATGCATAATTTTCAAGAAACACTGTGTCATTTTCTTTCATAACTTTTCAACTTGGAATCACTCGTATAATCAACTCTCGAAGATTGGCCATATACTTAAATAACACCCTGTATATGTCACTCTTTATTATAATGATATTATTTATTTATCGGTTAATAATTCGAGTTGAATTTGTGAATTAGGTATCCGAATATTGTTGTTTCTGTTGTGTTCTAACTGTTTGGCTTAGAACTGTCAAAAAAACACCTGATATTTACTGTAAAAAAACGGGTCACACCCACTAAGCAAGTAAAAAAATTCTTCAAAACAGGATACATTTTCAAATGGAACGATCTCATTCGGAAATAAACAATCCCCTGAATATTTTGATTATCTTCTTGTATTTACATGCCAAGGATTTGAATTACCGGAATACAGAGTGACTTAAAAAAAACGAAAGGCATAGCATCGTTATTCAAAGTCAGGATTTTGATGAACAAAAAAGCAATTGAAATGATTTGTCAAAAGTTACTGAATACAGAAATAATCTCCATTATTATTATTATTAGTGCCTCAAAATAATTTCATTAGAATTTTTGTTTATCGAAATCTGAAGACAAATAACGGCGCTATTGCTGGGACGTTTTTTTCAGTCAGCCTGTAATACGTTATTGAAAAGAAATTACATAAGCTCTAGGAGAATTTCATAAATTTAGATGCAACGTGCATATTTTTGTTAATTTTCCTAATCCTCAATTATCACAGATCAATTTTGTTATCACTATCGCCAATGTTAACGAAAAAATGGAATATCGTGTTAGTTGTGGACAGTTCTAAGCAGATATCTGAAGAAACAACGAAGCTATAAGGGCCTTAAAATCAACGAAGCAATAGGTACATACTTATCTTTATATGGCTTAAATACCTATACATTTCATGTAATTACAAATATTAAATTTACTAAATAAATAGAATAATTTAAGGAGACCAGTAGAATCCGTAGAGTTTATATGCAATACTGATAATCACTGACCTTTTTCATAAATTAACTGTTTAAAAATTATTTATGCTACACATTATCAGCTTGAAATTTCTTCCTTATATTGCACTGGATCAGTGACTGAACTTGACGGGGAATGGGGGGTGGAGGGGGGTCAGTTTTATTTGTCGAATACTGGATAGTCGCAGTTTTGTACACGTATATGTATTTCAAATACTAATAAAAAACACATGTTGTAGTCATATGATTCCCAAGCAGAATTAATGAAAACAAATTTTATGAGAAGTTTATAATGTCTTCTTAGGAATGTGATGAGATGCTGCTATCTTTTGATCATTTGCAAAATTATGGAATAAAATGAGTTTACAGAGTGACCACTTAGTATGTAATTCGGTGTGACAAGAGAAAAGTTGAGATGACAGTGTTCTTCTGCTTTTTGGCCGTGATAGCAAGCCAGCTCAGAAGGTACTTTTTGGTAATGGAACAACTCTGTATATTTCTTTTCATTGGCGGCGTTGTCAAGAAATGTATTATTCAAGAATTATTTTTCTTCTATTGCAAAGTCTCTAGTTACATCAGGTATGACGAATATTTTTCAATTTTTTTTAAAGTGTTCAAACACAGGACACTAGATTTTGACGATCAAATTTCGAAAAGAGTTAGAAACAATTTCAACAGTCGTATTGTTTCTTGTATCAAACACAATGGAAAACAATTCAAACAATATTTCTGATGCTGATACTGAGTTTTTTCGATTCTCATTTTGTAATGGATACTTCTTCCATAACGAGAGAATTATACAGGGTGCACCATTGGAAAGAAATAAATTGTGAGCTGCCCTGCCCCTGTACCATTGGAAATCTTTTTATACTATGTGGCTTGAAGAACTGAAGAATGATGTAATTTCAAATTTTCTAAGAATTCAACAGTCCAGGAGATATCTGAGAATTACGGACTAAATGGACACACTGTATAGATAATATCATTACTTCTGTGGATTAACTGAGGAACTATTTTTAGTGAATTACAAAATGGAGGGTTTTCCCTGTTGAATTTTGTTAGGCAGATCAGAAGGAAAGGGAATTAGAACTTCGAAAAATATCCACATTCTCCAATTACTATCGGAAGTAGAGAAAACAAAAAAAAAAGATAATTTCACGCCTACATTCTCTAGCCAATCAGACATTTTTATTCTTTTGAAATTCCAGGGAAAATAAAAGTTATTAGAAAACGAGATTCTTCTACTTTATCCATTTTGTCCATTGGCTACCAAAATTTTGAAAAAAACGCTGCCACCCGATTCAGATTCATAAAAAGCTGATGTTAATTTGAATTTTCATATGAACCAAAATGTACTCAAATGCAATATATTTTTTTGTTCCGACTGATTCAGCATTTTTTGATTTCAATGATGAACCAAAAAAATTGTCAAATTTCCATTTCATCTAGCGTCAAAATCATAGTCAGTCATAAAACCAATGGAATCAGTAAATATATTTTGTTGTTTAAACCAGTTGTTTTTTTCCAAATTCAAAAATGCCAAAATTTCAGTGTCGTTTTTCCTATGAGACCCGTCATTTTGTAATTCACTTACGAAAGTGAACGAATTTTTTTTTTGTACAAAGAGTATTATCTACTATCCTCCAACCATCTGGCGGCTATACAGTATGTGATCAAACTTAAACAGGTGATATTTAGAATGATTTCAAAAAGGAAGAAGACTCAATGTAGATGGTCGTAAATCCATAGAGTTTTCATGATATAGAATTCCCAACGTTTTAAAAAAAAAACACGATTTTCATTAATTCGATAATGGCTAAATCAGAACAAAATTGAATTAAGGAATGTCACGACATTAACAAAAATCGGGATAAAAAACAACACTTTCTCAAGGACCTACGTTCACATGAGTTTTTCGGGAAAAAAACACCCCTGGGAGTTTGGTAACATACATATGCAACCTGTATAGCACACCAAAGTTTTTGTTCATCAGACTAGAATTGAAAAACGGCAACATCGCTACATCGACAGATATACAGGGTGATCCAGTTTGTTGTAGCGAGCATCATCCAATCAGATTGTCGCAAGGCGAATATTACGGCACGTTACGTTAGTTGGGGTGTGATGGAGGGGATGAAGTGGGAAAGGAGGGATGTTATTGATGCATCATCCCTGCCACTAGAACAATTTTCAATGGTGATTTCGAATTTAGGATTACAGGAAGGGGCATCTCATACGACATGGTCATTATACGAAGATCCAAAGAATGTATAGGAGTGAGACATAAATTCATTTGATTCAAGTGGATGATTCTGGTAAGAACATGCTGGAACATGTTCAATTGATTTTGTGGAATACACTTCCTTCATTTCTGTTCCAAATAATAGGTATATGAAGTCAACCAGGTCAACCAGTTGCAAGATTTATTAATGTTTCATTGGAAATGTTGAAATTCATATTCCTGATATTTAGGATATGCTCCATGGAGAATCTTCAGAACTGGATGTATTTCATTTGAAAAAAAAACGAGACATAGTTGACGTTATGTTTGTTGAAACTGTCCATCCTGTATACAGTGATTCCAGTTCCACCTCAAGGACTTACCTGTAGAACAATCATTATTGATCGATCTTGATGCACTTTTTTTTTGAAAATGAAGGAATTAAAATTGCATATTCAACAAGTAGTTGCTCAATTTTGAACACTTTAATTTGCTCAGTTTAAAAAATGCTATTAGTTATTATATCTTATTCATAACAACACTTTTGCCAATTTTCATCATCCTGGTAAAACAATACAGGGTTGAATATCGGTAAAAGTACACTTTTAGTGATTCTGAATTAGAACCAGCTGCCATCAGTTTTATTTAAAAAAGTATCTAATAGTTTTTGCCCAAAAATATAGTCACCCACTTGTTGACTGTGCAATCAAATCCAATGCCTATCTAACAAAGATAGTTCATCAAGATCCATGGACAAATTAGGAATTCACAGGTGGGTAAGGTGGCCACACTGTATATGACATGAGAGAAAAAGAATTAGCAATTCAAAAAAAGTAATTGAAGCATGTCAGCGTTTTTAATTTCAAGTAGATTTGAACGAATTTATGAATTACATACTTTTATGGACGACCCTGTACAACTTTCCAGCGGACCTGTTTATTGGACTAAAAATTCTTGTTCACTTACAATGACCATGTCGTGTGAGAATACTTTTAGTATACATGCATAGGCAACAGTCTTTTTTCTTTGAAACTGGCCGAATATTTGGCTTCCTAGAATAAATTTAACGACTATATACAGGGTGACCCAATCTTCGATTTTAAATGAGAAGGCTGGATAGTACGAAAATAATGAAATTTTTTGAAAAAACTCCATTTGACTGTTATACAAAGTGATTTTTTTCAGATAAAATAACGTTTGTGAAAAAAGTACTGTGCTTTAGGATTTTTTCACAAAAATTAACGACGGATTCTCTTTTGGAATCTTTCATAAGGGCTGAAGGACCTGGGTTGATAGCCTGTTGAGTATTTATTCTCAATACAGTTCATTCATTATTGTTATCATAAAATATAAAGGTTATTTTAAGGATTGAATCGTTTTTTTCCTTGCACAATTTTATGTGTAACAAAATGCCGTTTTGAAACTTGGAAGATTTTGAATACTTTCGGGGATATCTGAAAAAATTAATAGAAATGAATAGTTCTTCATCATGGCAACCATCAACTTATTTTTTTCAAATACAAACCTGGTTTGATTATTTCAGTTTTTCTCACCTTTGGATAACCCAAAAGCTATGAGCTATCACAAATCTTCATTTTTTAATGTTTCGTTTACAAAAATCAACAGTTTCGTATAGTGTATTGAAATATATTCAGAAACTGTTGGGTTGATGAGGCTTGAATTCCAGCCGCCCTGTACAAGTTTCGACTGACCAAAAATGAAAATCCGTTCTCATTCTGTGAAGCAAATTCCTCATAGTACTTTTCGAAATTTCAGCCCATGAAAATGTTTAATATGGACCCAACCATCCCATTATTTTCGCCATCCACCCCTCTCCACACAACTCACCCTGCACCAACCCTCCTAACCACACTGCCTCAAACCCCGAATCCTCTGACAATACCACAACGAACAAACAACCCTCGCCCCCCCTCAAAACAGGGCGAGTCCATCGTAACAAGTATCACATCGGCACATCGTCGGCCCAACAACGGCCCTTCAATCGCCCATCACATGGGCCCATTGCAGGGCCCACAACGGCCCCTCAATGGCCCATCTTATCGGCACACTGCAGGCCCAACGAAGGCCCTTCAATCGCCCCGGCACTCCGCCATCGGCTCCATCTTGATCGACATCGCGTCCTGGGTATGGTGGGGGTTGGCCGAGGGATGGAGGGGCTTCACCAGGTCGTCGATGTCCTCTTGGAAAAGGTTCTCGGGGCGCGGCGAGGCGAACGACCGCGTCGGTTTGTACGTCATGCCGGAGACGCCGATGCCTGCGAGAAGAGGAGGATGTGAGTGAGTGCGTTTTGTCATTTAGGTCTAGGAAGCAGTCTGTTGGCAATTTAGATCAATCGAAATGTGCAAAAGTTGCTGTCTGTTTTGTACATAAGTTCGCCAGGAATACAATGGTCTATAGAACAACACTGGGGAGAATTTTTATCAACTATAATGTGAAGTTCGAGGTGAAGATATTTAATATAAAAAAAAACTAGTTGATCATATAATTGAAAATCTTGTTTGCCATATTGGATCCGCCATCTTCAATTTCCCAATTTTTACGAAAGAATCATAATCTCCGACCAAGACCACCACTAGACACCAATTTTGAGAAGTATCAGATCATAATTACAAAACTCGTCCACCATATTGGATCCGCCATCTTGAATTTACCAATTAAGACGAAAGAATCATTATCTTCGACCCCGAAAACTCTCAGATACCAATTTTGAATAGAATATCGGATCATAATTACAAATCTCGTCCGCCATATTATTTAATTTATTTAATTCTTTGTTCATGGAGAAAATAGTTTTCAGTCAGAAATAAAATTCTGGTATAAGGAAGTTGATTACAACAACAACAAAAAATCAAAAAAACTTGAAATCCTAAATCGATCAAATCATAAAATAGCAACAGGGACTAATCAGTATATGGCAGAGTATGAATTTTATCAATTTCGTAATGAAATCATTTTCATTTTAATGCATTTCAGAATTGTGTGTGTGTGTGTCTCATTTGAAATTAGGGAATATGTAATTTCCGGTCAAACCAGAAGTGACAGAAAACAATTGATTGAATAATGCATATTCATGTAGTATACTGAGAAACCAAATATCAATTGTTTATATGTATAAACAAAGAATTTATAAGGTTGAGCCACTTTTGAAAAACACCCGGTGGATAGATTGAAATATCATTTCATGTAAATGAGGCATTTCGTGAAATGAATTTAGTGTAATTTTCACCGTGAAGAAGCTAATGTTCGTGGAAACAATTGTGTGAAAAGTAAATTTGTGAAAATTATTACTCAGGTGAGATTTTTCATCAACTAAGAGCCGATTCAATTCAATATTCTTTCAGTGTGAGAAGCTATTAGGCCTTCGCGAGGGTTTGTTACTCACCCACATCCATGTTATTTCCTATGCTCATGTTGATAGACGGTTCCATGCTGCTGGATACCGTCAATCCCAGAGGACTCGAGATCGGACTTTCCATGCCCGATTCTGCAGGACTGATCCTCAGATCCTGAAATTTACAAAGATATTCTGCATTCAAACAACAATCATCGTACTAGCGAATATATAATATGAACACATAGAATAAATGCAGGCAAGGATATGAAGACACAGAACAAAAAATGAAGTAGACGACGCTGACAAAACGTCAATGAAGTGAAGGTGATCAACAATTCAACAAACATTTTTCATTTGATGAGAATTATATTTCTTCAAACTTCCATTATAACTTTTCACTTCTAGCAATGAAATTTCTACAACATGATTCAATGTGTGAAATTATTTATTCTTCTTCTCGCAATGAAATACCTACAACATGATTCAATGTGTGAAATTATTTAACTGTGAAATGTAGTGAGAAAACTTCCATGAATAAACTGAGAAACCGAGCAGAAATTATTCCAGATACTCTACTGAATGATTCAAACTCGAAAACTATCACATTGACCACATGGAAACTTGAATGTAAACATCGAATGTACTTTCTATTAGTTACTTGAATATGCGCAAAAGGGCGTGTCGCTTATTTTAAATCACCCATACCTGTATGCTGCCGGCGGGACTGCTCATGCTCCGCATCGCCGCCCCATGGCCCATACCCATGGGCGCTGCCCCATTGCTCGGCGGCATGCCGCAATGTCCCACCATCGCCAGCGAGTTCACCAGACTGGCCACGGGGTTCGTGTCGTGCGCTGAGGAGCTCTGCCCGTGTGCCGCCGCTGCCACCATGCTGCACATCTGCTGGCGCAGCCCTTGTGCCACCGCTGCCACCGCCGCCGCCACCCTACCCGTGGGGTCAGAACCATTGGAGGGGTGGGGTTGCTGCTGCTGCTGCTGCTGCTGGGATTGGTAACTCTGGATGGTGACTCCGTCCTGGAATTATTAACATTATGAATAAAAATTATCCGGCTCGAAGGACCAATGTTACAATCCACAATATTGTATCTTAGCAAATTATGACCATTACAAATCCTTCCCCAGTAGGGAGAGATTTTGCCAATATCGAAGACAAACGAGAGTCGTTCAACCCGTGCCAATTATTGGAAGAAGGATATCTGCAATAGGCCGTATATTTTCCGCTCTGTAAATCGACGAGTGTAAAAGGCTGATAAATATCAAATAACTATAGAAATTAGAGAATGTACATTGAAGGGTGAGGTTGCTGTTGTTGCTTCTCGGATTGGTTGCTCTGGATGGTGACGCCGTCATGAAATTATTATTATTATAATGAAAATAAGTAAATATATTTCAATATTTGAAATAACTACAATGGATAAAAGTATAAAAACATGATTGTGATTATTCTTATCTATTTCAGTCCTATAGCTCTAGACTTCTGATATAGCATAGGATCTTGACAGTTGAGAATAACCTCTCAGCCAGTGTCAGATAGACCTGTTCTGGGCAAAGTAGATGTTCCGAGGTTTCAGTCAGGTGTCAGTCTCCGCTAGGCTCCTCATCTTAGGGGAATACCTCAGAGGGCCGTGTACTCTATGAAAGCCAGTGAAACTCAAGCTCCGGACTCTGTTATGCGAATGGTTGAAGAACCTGTTCACTTGTCATTGGCCACTTAGGTGACATTTATTTGTCTGACAGAAAGATTGAGTACCAAAGAATGCATACTCTGCACCTTATTTTGCAAGGTGATAAGCTACCTCATTCTCTTCAATTAGGCAATTAACGTACTTTTGAAGTAGAAACAAATGATTTAAGGACTTTGAGTGTGGTTTGACTAAATTAACAGATATACATTTTGGCACCCCCCACATGATCAAGTCAAAATATACTTTATTGTCAAATTGTCGATTAGTTGACAAAGTATACGTTGATGGCATACATTTCAGCCTGGAAGATCGTGGAGGAGTGATTCGCTTATGCAAAACATTTTAGAATTTATCACTAGGAATATTGGACATCATCTTGTTGCTACTCACATGTAATCTGGGATAAGCATTCATGTGTGTTGGTTCTTCCTTGATTTGATGTGAATCTCTGAATACAACTGCTCTTATGACTCCTCTTATATGTTCATCTGGCCATACTCCTAGTAATATTCTTTGTGGTCGTCCTCTTCCTTTTGGTCTCAGATCTAAAAACAGAAACAAAAATACCAATGACACACTCGCAAAATTCATCACCCTGATGATAGGAACTTTCCTTGCTAAATTCAACTTGTTGATGAATATTTCATTTTTTGTTGATTGAGTGAATGGTTGATTTATTGAAATCATACTCATTTAGTGAATAAATTTGAGTGAGTTAGTATACTCCCCAGATGCTACTAAAATAACCTTCCTCTACAAATGATCATCAATGGGGGAGACCACTGATTTTTTAAAATGACATTATCGTGAACTCTATACTGAAAAACTACCAGCGAATTAATTTTGAATTTTGTCATTCATGCTAAGACGATGGAAAAAATAAATTAGAATATGTCCATTTCAAAACACACAATTCCTGCGCCATTTGAAATGTTCAATTCATTGGTGTGACTGGTGCGACGTCTTATTCCCAACACGCGTATTGTCCTTGAACTGACCAATCACGCTGCAACACTGCAGAATGACGATGTATCAGAGAGAGATAGCTACAGTTCGGGACTAATACGTCACGACTCCATCATCATATTTGGCTGTTTGAAATATCGAATGAAATATGCTGATTTCAAAACGATATAGATTCGATTCCCTTCAACTTTAACTCATAATATTGATTGTACATCAAACGTAAATCATGATTCGTCGATTGAAAGAGGTTTGCACGGATTTCTTCTCTCAGTGGTCTTCCCCATTGTACCCCTTGTTTTGAATCGTATATAGTACTGACCTGACCCTCCGTCCGCCGACGGCCCCAGCATATTGTGCACCCTGTTCGCATACAACACGAACGTCGGATAGGGAATATCATATTTCCTGGCCGCCTGCGACAAAGACAGCCCCTCCTTGAGCACCGAGAAGATGGCCTCGGCCATGGTCTCAGGCCGCCACGACTTGAGCGGGCCCCTTTCGCGGAAGCGCAGGTTGTGCACTAGGGACTGGTTGGTGTTCCAGCACTTCTGCCACATCGACTGCAGCTGGTACTGGTAGCTGTCTGCTGGAAGGAAGCAGAAGATACACCGATTAGTTCAGGGGTTGCAGGAAGTATGTTTTTTTCGTAAATGAACGTGCCTTGTTGGCAATTTTGGTCGATTCAGACTGATATTGGATGATACATGATGTTCTAGTTCTTTTTCTACTCACATAACTAAAATGGCAACCAGCGTACGGATATGTACCACGCTAAATGATCGATTAATCACGGATTGTCGATCTGTGATTTATTCAAAATATCAAACACGATTTCTTAAACACATTACCATGGCAACACAGTTCATTCAACACAGCTTCAACTATTCGAGACATGTCTGGCCTGTCAATTGTATTAACTGTCAACTGTTATTTTCAAATATTGTATCAAAATTATTCAAACAATATTCGTTTGTATCAGAATTCTTCATTAAAAATATATGCGAAATGTAGACGAAAGAGAAATCGAAGAGAATGTTCTGGTACTTGCATATCTCCAAGAAGTGTAAAAATGAAACATATCCATCTTTGAGAACAATTCATTCATTCTGCTCTAAGCATGACAATAAACGTGAAACAAAGGTTAGTGAGCAATGGACTGGACACATCTACAACCAATATCACTTATATGTGTTCTCAATTCCCATTCCTTTCGAATTATTTTGTAGGTTAGCAGGAATAGCAGGTATGTTAATGCAATTTTCGGAGTTCGTAGAAAAAGCATAGTATGTAACGCGTTTATAAACTCTTCTAGACACTCGTTTATTAAACACTCGTTACTAAAATGAGGACGTTTATTACACTTATTCTTACATAATATACTATTGTCGACATTTATGCAACCAGCCAACGAATTTTAAAAAATGTTCGGAAAACTACGAATGTAGGTGAAAACCTATTGATATCAATATTCAACTACTTATTTTATTCTAATTTTTGTAATTGTTAGTAAGATATATGTATCCTCAAGTACCTATATCTAATCCGTTGATTGATATATTACAAGCGTAATATATCAATCAACGCCAATAAGGACAGGCATCCTCCTCCCTCCTACTCATTGACCTTGAATGTCTTAAATACGCGGCTCAAGGGCAAAGACAGTGTTGTTCTTGTCATACGTTTTTAATAGATCTATTAATATTTCACAGAGGTTGTTTAAATATTTCATTTGACCTGATAGGAGGAAGCCATGATATTATAGTTATTCATTTGCGACTTTTCGAGCAACCAGCTCGTCAAAATAATTCTTATACTCCATAACAAAATATCATGAACATGTATGTAGATGTTTGCTAGACTTGGCAACATGTGCTGAACGCTGAGAACTGACAAGACAACGCCAAACATCATTGCCGTATCGTCACGTTTACGAGACCAAATATCCTCTATACTACATACAAATATACTCTCCTACTCCTTGAATGTCTTAAATACGCTTGTTCTTGTCATTACTTTTGTCATTACTATTTCACGGAGGTTGTTACGTTATTATCCTTTGATTTTGTTCTGCTCTCTGAGTCTATGTCACAGCCTTCATTCACTATATTCATGTCATAAGTCATAAGTTCCGTGTGACTTTTGCCTCGTTCCTTTCAAAAATGTCTAATCCGTGCGATAGTTGAATAAAAGTACATCCAAATTAAATATTTCATTCGACCTGATAGGAGGAAGCCATCATATTATAGGCATGCATTCGAGACTTTCCGAGCAACCAGCTCGTCGAAATATTTCTTATACTCCATAACAAAATATCATGATGTATCATATGTAAATGTTTGCTAGACTTGGCAACATGTGCTGAACGCTGAGAACTGACAAGACAACGCCCACCATCATTGCCGTATTGTCACGTTTACGTATGTTTACACTGAAGAAATGAATATATGGCGCCTAATTCAAAATCATAGCCATTCCACTTTGAGTTCGTGTTTATATTCTCAGGATTTATTGTAACATATGGAAAATACAACAAATGTATGGAATGTGATGATGTGATAATCTTCCCTCAAAGATAACTTCAATCTTTACGTCGCGTCATTCATCATAATATTAGGCAAGTGTACTATTGCCTCCAATATTAGCCAATCAAAGCAAAGGTCAACGCTTCCTTATGATTCTCAATGCTGTCTTGAGCAATAAACCACAACACATAAGAAGAAATTTCAAGAAAATGATCTTTGCACAGCTCTAATTAGGAGCATCACCAGAACATGATTGAGAATTTAGGAATAATTGAATAAATAATATTTCTGAAGTTATTTCAACATATTATACGGCAACCGTGCAACCGAGCTATTGCCCCTATACCTGCCTATACTTAAGCAATCGTGAAATTTCCCAAAATGCAGTGAATTTCCCGCCAATTGAAAACACTGCTATACAGAGTTCAGTCAGCTGACAGCTCATCGTGATCAGTGTTGTCTCCTCCCACCTTCCACCTTCGGTGAACAAAAATGAAAAATAGTCCGGCGAATATGCATGAAATGTCCCTTTGTCCCGTATTTTCATCAAAAATTCCTCGAAACTGAAATTAAGCCACATTTTGAACAGATGGTCCTGCAGCCAACTTCCTTGAATACTTTGGTAGGAATTTTATATATTTTTCGAAGTCGTGAAAGCGAAAACGGAATCACAAAAAGGCCGTCTGATTTCCATATAAATTCCCCGTGCGTTAACTAACAGTTTCAGTCATAAGGTTTTTTTAATAATGTCCTGCACCTCTTCTAGATGACGACCTCAATACACCTCCCAGTTTTCGTTTTTTTATCGCTACATACGACGCTGAATTCATATCAGACTTCAGAGTTTTAGTTTCATACCTACACATGCAGGATGATAAATCCCTCAAAACCAATTGAATGTCCCTTTGTCCCTCGTGGACCTCAAAGATCCCTCAAAAAGGGATAAATCCTAGAGGTGGCAACACTGCAACTGATAAGTGAAGTGAAGGTGAAAAAAAACTCCGCTGGAACAGCGTACATATAAATAAACGTACGCTGGCTGAAACAAAGATCAATGCGTACTTGCGTAGTCGATATCGATACAACAGTGACTCTATCCGACTCTATCGGCTATCCTGTAGTCGATATTCGATATGTATTCGATATTCTTCAACTGCGCCACCTGTGAGATGAGTGTCGAAGTAATCATGCACAGTCTGGCCAGTCTGGCACAGTCAAGCCGACGATGAAACAGATTGCGATATTCCCGCATCAACGATGCATCAGTAAACACATGGGAAAGGTTTCAAATAAATCCGCGAGATGGCAGATGACGTACTATTGTTGCTATTGCTAATTATTAAAGCGTTTGAAGGAACAAAAACTGTGCACGTGTGTGCACGTTGTGATTGAACATTGGATTGAAAGTGGAGAAAAGATCAGAGATGAGCTCAAAATGATATAGTACGTCTGGTCTGAAGATATGAATGGAAATGGTGTAGGTCATAGACAATCTCTACTCTGAGATTGTCTATGGTGTAGGTGTTTGAGTTATTATTGAGAGCATGAATATTTTAAACAACTGTAGGTAGGTATATATACCTACCTACATATTTATGTATTGGTTATAAATAATATCAGTTTTCAATAAAGATAAACTTATCAGGTCGTTTTATTTTCACAATTATAAATATGAGATGATTTCATATGTTTGTAATATTGGAAATTTAATAACCTATTGTATATTAAAAAAACAAACATCCAACATATAGACCTTGACAACAATAAGTAATATCGTTCTATTGTTTCAATAATTTACGGTTCCAATTATTTATTAAAATAATAATATTCCATGACGCACAATGCCACATTACTTACTTCTGTTAATTAAACAATTAAAAATGAATCATTAATTCTAATTGGGCGGGATTAAATAAGAAGCCTTAATTAAAGTTAATATTTCTTTATTAAGTAACTTTTATAAACAACGCAAAAGGTCTTATAAACAAAATACAAAAATAATAACGAAACTAAGCGAATATCAGTTCCTTTGTCGAATATCATGGTGAAGTTTTGGCAAACATTTATTATTGCTAAGTGTCAATGAATGATAACAGATATAATGATATAATAGAAAATGTATTTAGAGAAAATAATTGAACTCTGCTCAAATAAAATATTTCATGATATAAAAATAAAAATTCATAATTTGGAAGACCACTGCTGTGTTCTTTTAGAAACAAAAATACTATCAACGGCCAAATTTAGAGTTCCATATTATCATTAATATCATTAGACTATTTCAAGAAGAAATGGTCATGAAAAAATCATCAAAAATATTGTTTTCTTCAGTTCCAACAGCTCGATATATACCAGAAGGATGAATAGTGTCAAAAGGGGACAGAAATGTAGAAAAATATCTACTTCAATGGAAAATCAATCGATAATTTTCTTCAGTACTGGGTGTCCCAAAACTTCAGTAACAAGCGATATCTCGGTTGACACATGAGTTGTCAGTTCGTATGGAAAATGCCATCAATATGAATTTTTCTGATAAGTGCCACACATCGTTGATTTTAGATCAAAACGTCTTAAAATCGATAATAAAAAATCCAGGGCCGTATTCTTAAAAAACAAAGTTGATGACGGCAGCTCAAAGACGAAACGTCGGTTTGAAAATCTGATAACATCATCTAGTGGAACAGAAAAAGTATAAATGAGAATGTGTTATTGGTTTTGTTACATCTATTCAAATAGTCATGAAACAATGAAAATAAAATCGCGAATATTTGTTTTTTTTCCAAAAATCTTCGGAAGTATTCGGAATTCTTCGAATTTCAAAGCGGCGTTTTAATGAGCACTGAATTGCCTCCATCGTATCTCTTCTACTTTTCGAGATCCCAATGATGGGGATCGAATTTGGGACACCCTGTATAGCACCTACCAATATTATGATTATTAATTTTACTTTTTTCATAATAAATGCATAGGTAGAATGTAGTGAATGTGTTTTTTACTGTAAAAACGTGATCGTAATAATCAGAACATGATATGCCACTGTGTTCAAAGTAAATTGGAGATT